TGCCCGAAAAAATTCGTGAGAAGCAGAAGGAGGACCCAGAGTTGGCAAAAATCATTCAAGATATTGAGGAAGGAAAAGAAACCCCATTTGAAATGGTAGATGGCATGTTGAAGATGAAGGGAAGAGCATGTGTTCCTAATGTTGATAACTTGAGGAAAGAGATCCTAGATGAAGCTCATTCTTCTGCTTATGCTATGCACCCAGGAGCAACTAAAATGTATCACACGATCAAACCATATTTTTGGTGGCATGGGATGAAAAAGGAAGCGGCTGAACATGTTTTGACATGTCTGGTATGTCAGAAAGTTAAGGCAGAACATCAAGCTCCTGTGGGAAAACTAAAACCACTTCCAATTCCAGAATGGAAGTGGGAAAGAATCACAATGGATTTTGTATATGGTCTCCCATCATCAAGGGGAAAAGATGCAGTATGGGTTATTGTGGACCGACTAACCAAATCGGCTCACTTTTTACCCATTAGATGGAAACCATCACTGGAGACTTTGTCTCAACTATATATTAAGGAGATCGTCAGATTGCATGGTGTGCCAATTTCTATTGTCTCTTATCGAGACCCGAGCTTCACATCTCGGTTTTGGCAAAGTTTACATGATGCCTTGGGAACTAAATTACATTTTACTTCAGCTTATCATCCTCAAACAGATGGGCAAAGTGAACGAACCATCCTAACTTTAGAGGAATTACTTCGATCATGTGTAATGCAATGGGAGGAATCATGGATTGACCATTTGCCCCTGATTGAGTTTGCTTACAACACTCAGTACCATAGTAGTTTGGGTGTTCCACCATATGAAGCACTTTATGGGAGGAAGTGTAGAACACCATTATGTTGGGATGTAGAAGGAGCAAGGCAAATCTCAGGGCCAGAGATAGTTCAGATCACAGTTGATAAGGTCCAGGAAATCAGGGAGCGTTTGAGGGTGGCTCAAGATTGGCAGAAAGTTTATGTTGACACGAATAGGCGTGAAGTTAATTTCGAAGTGGGTGAGAAAGTATTTCTCAAAGTTTCACCCTGGAAAGGCGTAATGAGATTTGGTAAGAAAGGGAAACTTGCACCTCGGTATATTGGACCTTATGAAATCATAGAGAAGATTGGACCAGTGGCATATAAACTGGCATTGCCTCCAGAACTATCTCAAATCCACAATGTATTTCATGTTAGTATGCTGAAGAGGTACAAAGTGGATCCTTCCCATGTTATACAACCAGAAGATATCGAGTTGGGCCCAGATTTGACATTTGAAGAGGTTCCAGTTGAGATTGTTGATTTTCAGATTAAGACTCTTCGTAGGAAGGAAATTCCAATGTTGAAGGTTGTAAGGAGGAATCAAGAAAGTGAGAGTGCTACCTGGGAGACTGAAGCAAGTATGCGAGAGAAGTACCCGGAGTTGGTAGCAACCTACTTTAAAGGTTAACAATCTTGCTTAGTAGTTATGTTTTGAACTTGCAGATGTGCTTTTGTTGTGATAGCCCAGTATAGGTTTTTGAAACCTAAACATGGGAACTTGAGGTGTTATGTGTTACCTTCTATGTTATGAATCACCTAACCTAAGAGTTAGGTAATGGTTTATCTACGATAGACCATGTCAAGGGTAAGTAAGAGGAGTTAGAGTACGACTCAAGGATAGATTTCAGGGACGAAATCTTTTAAGGAGGGGAGAATTGTAACATCTCGTTCCGGCAAAACCCATATTTCGATCGCTAGAAAGTTCGCGATTTAAAATCGAGCGTTTTGATAGTATTTCGACAAAAATCGTATTATCGATCGATCGGATAAATATACGTATACATATATATATATATATATTAATAAGCGGCCATATATAAGTTACCCGTCCATTTTCATCCCATCACATTCCAATTCTTCTTCTTTCTTATCCGGCCGAGAGAATCCGAGATTACAGGGCGCGCAGGGGAGACAAAGCAGGAAATTCTCCGAGCTCGATTCTTGAGCTACAGTGATCCAAAAATCCCGTAAGTAATGCCTAATTCATCCATACAACGTGATTTATCGATTTAGAGCTTTAAAACGAGTTTTTGGATCAGGAATTTCTTGAATTCCCGATAAGCCAAATTAGGGTTTCTAAGTATCCGGAAGCCGGATTGAGCCCAAATTTCATAAACGAGCTTCCTGCAGCGAGGTAATCAATCCTCTAGTTCTAATCCCTGAATTTTGGCAATTATTTAGGCCGTGGTCCAAACGCTGAATTTAGCTCCGGCCAGGGTTTGATGTGTTTTTATCAAGAATTTGACCCGGAGCCTAGAACTAATATTGACGGGGATACTGCAAGGGATATTAGGACGGTCTTGGGTTCTAATTCGGGGTTCGTTCGTGAAATTGATGTTTTAGTACGAGAAGGTTAAACCGGTGTTTGAACGACCAGAACTGGTGAGGGATTAGCACGACATACCGGGTTTGTCGTATAACGATAATTATATTGATGCTTAGAATTGATCTAGGTGAACTAGAATGGCATGATTAGGGGTGTATGAACTTTTGTGCTATATGTTGAACCCTAGATTGTTGTATGATATTATTGACTTGCCCTAATCGATATGAACCTTGTTTATGCTGATGATTGTGTATATGTTGCAAATTGTGGGCTTGACTGTTAATATGCTTTACGATGGTTCGAGAAGGTGATTAGGTATGATTTTTCATGATTGTTGTATTTGGATGCACAAGTTGGAAAATATATATTCCCTGGTGATATTATGACGTTTAAGGAGGATGACTTGCACGAGGGTTTATCCCGAGGAAGTGCAATTATATGACTCCTGATTTACCTATGTTGAGCCAATTATGGCCAGGTCAAGTACATGTGCAAGTAATGAATTATGATTAAGCAAGATGATATATGAATCATGTATAAGGATACCAAATATAAGTGTTGTGGTCTCACGGTCAACTACATAGTAATTAGGGCTCCCTATGCTATTACTCTATTATGATATGTATGATAGTCACACCTCTCATGTGATGGTGACTGAAGAATTCTTACGAGATATGACCACACCCAGAGTGGTGTCGGGGTATGACTACACCCATAGTGGTGTGGGGTATGTATGACCACATCCGACGGGATGTTGGGGTATGTATGACTACATCTGACGGGATGTGGGGTATGTTTCCAGGGAGGGTTATTAGCATGGGAGTAGCCAGGCGCCTATGAGTAAAACATGATAAGATGCATATGCATAAGTCAAGGTGGTTGAGTCTTTTGCCTATTGGGATATGAGGATGGCTGAGGTCCGGTCCTAGTGTTTTGGCTTGAGCAGTAGATAGGTGTAGAGGTGGGAGCTGAGCAAGAGTTGAAGGCAAGATGAGGTATGGTCTTCAACTATTCTGTGCTTGGACTACTACTCGGGATTTTGGCCAGTGATCCACACCTTTTTGTAAAAATGTTTTGAGAACGTTTTTCATGTGCATACTAGCTTTTGATATAGTGTGAGATATCCACAGGTGTGGAAAGTTGATGATATGTGTATATGTTGTGTAACTGTGTAAGTTTTGACGATTATGGTATGTATAAGTATGGTATGCAGTTATGGAGTATGAAAAGTGTGACTATGGCTAAGAAAAGCCAATGCATATGGTTGTGACTATATATGTTTGTAATGAATTATTTTGCAGGATAAGTTGCAAGAATTGTTAGCCCATTACGCGAGTAATTCATGTCGAAATTTTATTTGGGTAAATTTTGATAATTAATGTGACACCCGAGATTAATTCCGCTGCAATTGTATGAACAATATGATTAGGCAAAACGTATAGGGTAGGGTGTTACACTGCTGCTCGCCTCGCCCTGCTTCTTCTCATGATCCACTTCTGCTAGACTATCCTCAACCTGGTGCGTGAGAAGGGGTCATTCTCGTCGTTACTTCCTAAGGTCTTTACTCTAGGCAAACTCCTTACTAAACACATTATTAGGGGAAAGCCTTCCTTAGATGAAAGTCGTTCTCACTTTCATCCTTTAAACTTCACTATCAAACAGTCTATAAGAGATCTCTACTCCTATCTTATCCTTAGAATTCCCTTACTCATATTCTCAATCAAAAGACACCAACACAAGGGACCACCGCGTTACGTCTCGCTGTCTGGTGTCCCTACCCTAGTATGCCAACCGCGTTACGTCTCGCCGTCCGGTTGCATACCCAAACTCGGCAATGGCACTGCGTTACGTCTCGCCGTCCAGTCCATGCCCGTCAACTACTGCGTTACGTCGGGATCGGAATTGGGATCGGGGTAGGGATCGGCTCCCTTTCTTCTTCTTTTTTCCTCTGCCGCGCGAAGTTGGAATTCTCTAGGGCAAATAAATCAAAGAATGGCGGCGGGGTGGAGGAGTTTCTGCTCCTGGGAAAAATATTGGCGGGGGGTTTGGGAATTGATGAGAGGGCCGCTCGCCCCCCCCCCCCCCCTTCCACTAGGTCTGATAAATTTTTTTTAATAATAATAATAATAATTATTATTATTATTATTCCTAATCCGCGGTTACAAGTCTTAGTACGTAACCGTCAATCTAACCGATCACGTATTAAGGTCGAACCTAAATCTAAATTACCGGGGTTTTACACCCAATTGAGCACGAGAGTGGACAGCGGAAGTTATGCGATCATTAGATGAGTTATCTGACTTCAGGCTAGTTAGTTAATTAATTGAATCTACGAGAGTAAACAATTAATTTGCTAGATAGTACGTCGTGTTTCTTCAGAGAGATAGCTATCACCTTAGAGATAAATTCGGTCATTTGAATAAGAATTAAATTGATTAATAAAAAAATTGAATAAGGTAATTAGTTAGTGAATTCCAAGTCGTCTTTCCCAGAGCTTCTCGACATTGATTTTTCTCCAAGTTAATTTCTCACTTGCTTTTATAGTTTAGTTATTTCTTTTTTTTTGTTTCCACTCAATACTTTTGTTAGTTTCAGTTCCTTAACTCTGATCGTTAAATTTAGAGTTTTACCCATCCCTGTGGGACGATAATTTACTTATCTTTATTACTCGATCGATTAGTGCCCATACACTTTTGTCGCATCAATGGTTAAGGATGAAATTCCCTCACTCTCGATGATGAAGATTTCTATTGAGATCTCCAAGGGGATCTTTAGTTCCGGGGATGGAGTAGGTTTGGTTCTCTCAATGTCCTCTATTTGTCTTCTTACTACCTCTAATCGCTCTAGGGCCATTTCAAACTTGGACTTCAGCTTAGGTTGTGGAGGTGGTTGTTGACTGAATGGTGGTGGAGCTCGGTAACCATGGGGGCATCGTTGATATCCATGGCGAGGGCTTGTCCCTGAAACAGGGATGCTTGTCCTTCATTTCTCCTTAAAGTCCCGGGGTAACACCATTGGGTGGATGAGTGATACCCCCCACACTTGGTTGAAGTCATAGGGATCCATGTTTCAATAACTATACATAAAACCACTAAAAAGACAATTAAACAAACACAAACCACCCTACGGGGAGAAGAGTGGTGTAACAAAATACCATAGGAGAGCACAAGAAACAAACACGAAAATGACTATACACGAAAATGAAAACAAGCACAAGCACAAAAACTAAACTAGTAGATCAAAACCTTTCATAATAACTTAGACTTCTCCGACAACAATGCTAAATACTTGAAAGCTTTAAATTTCTAACTCGATCGTCTACAACATTAACAACTCCAATTCGATCCAAGTATAACTCGAATTGGCAAAGTATTATAGCAGTGACCGATGTCATATTCCAAGGGCCCTCTAGATCTATTACTCGCTCGGCCTCAATCTACTATCTAGTCGGACGGATGGTTGGTTGTTTAAGTGTGAAACAAATGAAGAAACAAACAAACTAACTGTGAGGAAGATCACAAGAGATAGAATGATGTTTAGGTTGAATCCATGTATCTGTAGGTCAACAAGGGTTGTATCTATGGCATTTTGAGGTGTAAAGGTCACTAAAGTGGGGATCGGTGCAATGGCCATGCCTCTCGATCCCCCTTATAGTCGTGTCCACCACCCCATTGTCATCATAGACAGCTTCCCCGACTAGAGATACATCCTACCTCCTCTAAATGGTACTATCCATCTGTACAAAAGTGGAGTTAGTCAATAGTTATGCACTTACCCAACAAGCATCAACTAGATGAGCACCTAACTAGAGGGGGATTGTCACCTCTACCTCAAGATAGGTCTCTAAATCTCATATCTAGCAAGGATACAATCAAATATATGCATATGACTAACCCTAAGGCTAACACATGCAAAATATAATCTTATGCATCTAGAACGTAGATAGAAGCATTAAAACACTAATTGAATAAAAACATGTCATGAGTTTCAAACCCATAAACATTCTACAAGATAGGGTTCATCTTTTTAAACACCAAGAGAACTAAAACATAAAGAGAGAAATTACATACAAGGAGGAGGTAGAGCACCAATCTTGAGCTTGATTCCAGCTTGTCCTTCTTGGCCGGACCACCCTTTTTCAATCCTAAGAGGATTTGGGGTTATGATGATGAATAAGTCACCCAAAGCCTCTCCAACCTCGTCACCCTCATTACATATCTATAACATTATGTTTTTCACTCTCTAGGATGCCCCCCTTTTTCTCTAAAGACTGTGCGCCTGCAATCTTTTGAGTGTGTCACGCGATTGGGAGATTGCGGCCTTAAACCAAAATGATCGTGGAAGGGATCTTTTTCTCGTGGTCATGAACTATTTCTCATGGTCTAGCTTTTCGTGGCCACGAGGCTGGTCGTGAAACCTTATGTACTAGTCATTGGTCTGCCTTTTAGAGTTTGGTCACGAGATGGAGTTCACAACCGTGATCATTTTGTCCAAGGACGTGATCTTAACTCTGGTCTATTTTCCACCCTCTTTTCACCCTTCAAACGACCTCCAGTTGACACGAAACGGGCATGCCTCTTCCTTATAATGTTAGGACCTGAAATTAAGCAAAAAAAAAAATACAACATAGCCTAGAATAGAATGAGAGTGAACAAGATTCATGCAAAATGGTCAAGTGATGATAAAATATTTGATAAGTTTTAGGGTATGACGATAGAAAGCATGTAGAGCATGAAATCAACCTCAATTGGAAAACGATGACGATTATGGCATGCAACAACTAAGAAACGAAAGGACAAATAACACCAATTTAGGTGTTATCAAGTTCAAGTCCCCCTTATAAGAAAAAGTGAGGAAGGAATAAAAAGAAGACCGAGAGAAAGGAGCAACGGATAAGGTGGGATGTGATTGATGGCCTAGGGAGTCAGAAGAGAGTTAGTGATTCTAAAGGTTCAGAGAGAGAAGCGAGAAGATAGGAGAAAACAACTAAAAAGGATCATGGCCCTCAGAAATGGAAGAAAGAGAGAGTAGGAAACTGAAAGGACAAAATGAGGGCGGAGATGCAGAAGGATGAACATTGGCTTGATTTTTTTGCTTGTTTCTACCCTTTTTCAATCTCGTCTTCTTTCCAACATGAAACAAGCACAATCAAGAAGCATTTTTTTTAATCCGAGAGAGAGAGAGAGAGAGAGAGAGAGAGAGAGAGAGAGAGAGAGAGAGAATCGTCCTTAAAAAAATGTTGCTAAGAGATTTAGTGTGCAGGAAAGAGGTGGGAATGGTTGACAAAATTGTATTTAAAGTTTATCTATGGAAAACCCATATTTAAAGTCAAACATGATTTTTAGCCCAAATTCCACATAGATTACATGGTATTTTAAATGAAAGAATTTGTCATAATTTGTCATTATTAAAATTATTCATCCAAACGAAAGCCAAGCAAGTGAGCCCACAAGGAAGGTGGGTTTTGAATTAGGCACCAATTGGGATTAATTGCGCTAGATGTCACTTAAATTCTAAACTGATTGCACGGTGGCCACTTCAATCATATTTGTTGCAACTAAAACACTTAATTGTAGTTTTGATTGTATTGCTCATTTTTCCGGTCCAAAACTTAACGATGAGTTTGAAAACGTAATTATTCTGCAACGCAGGCAAACAAACTCTGGTGAGTTGTCACTTTATCTCAAATGACAACGTTTGTATACTTAACACTAGCTACTTCCCGGCCTATCGGCCGGGCGAGTTTCATTTGATTATTTAATAATCCATATTTGACGACCTGCAAAAAGAGATAAGTCAGATAACCGAATATGCAAATAGAGGAATCATAAGCTTGCAAGCCGTAAGAGGTTAAAATCTCTAAATTGGAGAAACATAGTTAATCCGACTTTACCAACCACTTCAATCATTGTATCAATAGTAGAAGAAGAATGCTAGTGGAATTGAGTAATCAACATGAAGCAACGACTAAAAGACAACAATTAGAGATTGCATGTCATCTTTCATCTCACTTCATCATACATGTTTTGATTTTGAGACACGAAGCTTTATTGAATGAACGAACAACATTAAAATACAAAATGAGAGTTGTCTTATACAACACCTAATTCCCCAAACGTAGCACCGTCGTCGCTGCAATCACCATCTCCATCATCTGAGTTTTATTCCCTCGCGTTCAATAAATATTCCTTCATCCTCTGCCTCGCTGGATGCATGGTCGGAAGACTGTTATCATAATCTCTATAATTGATGGCGGGATTATAGACCGAATATGAGAGATGCTCTGTCGGGTGCTTCTCTAAAACTTTGTTATCGACGCCCCGTTAATTGCGCAAATAATTCTAGCACATCGGCCTCTCAGCAAAAATGAAGTTTGGAGAACGTAGTAGCTGTATGAATTTTCTAAATAAAGAAAATAAAAGAAAGAAGATAGAATGATGAGGGTGGAAGAAGAGGGAAACTGTCACTGTGGGGATATTGGGAGTGAACTTGGGTTTCATGGAAAGGAGGAGGGGAGGAGACGCGAGGCAACGTTTAGGATTATTTATTTATTATTTTTTTAAGGTTGGCAACGTTAGATTGTCGTCTGGCAGTTTAAGTGAGAGAAAAAAACGAACGAAAGATAACTGCTTCGAAAAATAAGGATAGGTGACGTAAAATTAAGTTTTCAGGAAAAAAAAAGGAATACACCGAGAGTTACGGGAAGTGTAAGGAAATTTGAACTGGGAAGATGGTTTTGAGAAACCCTTTAATATATTTTATAATAGATAGATAGATAGATTATAGATAGATAGACAGAATAGAATATATAAATAGATTTTATTAAAATTTCGTCGTTTCATGTTTACAACAAATCCTTATTTCAGTCTTCTTCTTCTCCTCCCACATTCCATCTACATATATTTATCAATCTCATCGCCTCTCTTTATTTTCTCTGTTTGATTCAATTACCCTAGTTTCATCATCCAGCAAGTTTCCATACCTAGATATGCTTGCAGTTTCCACCACATCCCGACGAGATGTGATTCCTCCCGCAGAACTTTTGAACAATTGGATCAAAATCCCAATGAATTAAGAGCCCTGAGCCCTTGAAGTCCTAATTTCTTTCGGGGTCAGAGTTGAAGCGTCCAATAAAACATGTTAGGGAATTCCATTTCCTAATTAATTATATGGGCCACATACTTTACACAATCATATTAGCTATTGGTTTAAGTGGGCTAATTGTAAGTGATCTAATTGATGAGCCCAAGACTAATCAAACTCAATATGGATCCAATGGGTGGAAACCCAATACTTGGTCACCTTGGGTTTTATGGGAGCCCATGGTGATTTATAAGGAACTCTTGAGGTTGTGGTCCGCAACACACCAAGACCAAACACTCTCTTCTTCTCCCCATCAGGAAGATCAGAGGATTCCCGTAGAGGAACTGAGGCGGCTTGGTTGAGGAAGACTACAGAACCTCCTGGGTCGTACTCTCAGAAGTATCGTCCGGCGTTAGATTGATGTTCAATTCCGCATCAAGATCGAGACGATTAACCGACACGAATTCGGGTAATTCCAAAAACCTTTGATTATCTAACAAGATGATTCTAGTGAATTGCTAATGGCAAATTCAATTTCTTTCAAGTGGTATCAGAGCTCTCATCTTTGTTTGATTATTGGGGTTATATATTCTTCATTGTTGTACGGAGATGATTTTGTGTATTATGATATTGTTATCTCCTTACATTTTGTGTCTCCTGGAATTTTTTTTCAGTTCCTGCGTTTTTTTTATTCTTTCCGGGGTCAGAATTGCTCATTCTTTTAGGATCCAAGTGTTTCTATTCTCCTAATCTAATTGTTTGTCCATTTCACATTCTTGAACCCCCCCCCCCCCCCCAATGTGGATTTGTGGGAGGTGGAGATTGAGGGGTCTAAGTTCAGGTCCTTAAACCCATATTTTTAAGGAAGATCGTAAATCGTTGTGATTGGCTGATTTAATTTTAGGTAGTTTGTATGGAGTTATTAGTTAATTAGTTGTTAAGGGTATTTAAGGAATTATAAATAATTAAAAAAACATAACCCTAACTGTCTATAAACCCTCGGCATTTTTTCCTCACCCACGACCGAACCTTTACTCTTCTCGTCAAAGGACGTTCTCCCGCGATCGTATCCGCTGCAGCCGCCGGCCGTCCCTTCTGCTCCCGCCAGCTTGTCTTCGCCATCGACTCCCAGCTTCTGTGTCCACCAAGTTCCCGTTTCCACCAAATCTTAACCCCCCAGCTCTCCGACAGCCCGCTCCAAGTCTTCACACAACGCCTAATGGTTTGGATCGGCGAGAGCTCCAAGCGGCCCGACTGTCTCTGTCTTCCAGCCTCCACCCTATTCCCAACTGCCATCCATGGATATGGGTCACAAAGCTTGACAGGAGTCGACTACCAGGTTTTCCTCTATTCCCAACTTTATTCGTCCTTTAATGAAGATGGATACTCCACTGGGAGTTTGTGATATATAGCTAAGAAAAGTTGTTATCTTGTTTATATAAACATGTATTAACGTTTTTGGGTTTTGTTGAATAATGACGAGATCTCGTTAATAAGAGCATCATAAATGTTACCAATGATGTCATAAAGTAATAGCACGATCACCTATATAACGATGATAATATAACATTATATTGTTAATAATTGCTTATAAATCGTTGATCATTTAATTTCTAGCATTTAGAATCGTTCTTGATTTACGTTAAAAATTGACGAGGTATAGTTAATAATGGTTTCGTAACTAACCTAAAATTATCTCTACATTTCTCATCCCGCATTATCAAATAACATGTATGTTATTCAGGGTTTTTTTCTTACCCCAGTATACAACCATACAAAAAAGTGATACATTTTCAACAATTTTAGGTTTTGTTTGTGACTTTGTGAATGGCATTATTAATGTTTCGTTTTATGTTATTAACATTTTCCGTTTGTATTTTTCATTGTTCAAACACGGGTTATTAATATATTTATATGCAATTTGTAATTTTTGGCAGTGATCCACAATATGATTCGTACAAATAATACAGCGTGTTGCATTGCTTAGTAAGAGGATGGAGAAGAAGGCAGTTGCACTTAGAGTTGATGACAAATAATGACGTTATTATTAATTATTAACTTTTTCACTACGTCATTATTATTAACTATATCTTGTTGAATTATTAACGCAATACGTTATCAACGTTTTAATCTACGTCATTAACATTTTAATCTCTGTTATTAACATTTTCACTTGTACACTTATCCACACGCAAATGTATTTCTTTGTCAATTATTAATACACAGTGACGTTATTAATAATTATACCATTTCAAATTATTAAGACACCATGAGGTTGAAGCTTTGTATCGGTATTATGTCAACAAACTACGTTATCTATATTTTAACCTATATTATTAACATATTTACTTACGTTATCAATATTTTCAGCTACGTCGTTATCATTTTAACCGACGTTATTAGCATTTCACCTATACACTTATCCACATGCAAATATATTTCTTTGTCAATTATTAACAAACAATGACGTTATTATTAATTAAACCTTCTCGAATTATTAATAGACCACGAGGTTAAAGCTTTGTACAAGTGATAATGTCAACAAACTACGTTATCCATATTTTCACCTACGTTATTAACATATTTGCTTAGGTTATTACTATTTTCAATGGTTATTAACATATTTTCACCTACGTTATTAACTTATTTACTTACGTTATTATCATTATAAGCAAAGTTAGTAACATCATCACCCAATTCAGTTATTAACAAACCAAGGTATTTCATGGATGATTAATAGATTATTAACAAACCATAAAATTATTATTAATTATATTCCATTTAATTATTAACACACCACGAATCTAAAAATTGCAGCATAATGGATTATCTATATTTTCACCTACGTTATTATCATTTTCCATTATGTTATTAACATTTTCAATGGAACACTTTAATACCAACATAAGCCAATATATAATAACCAAATGAAACACACACAAAAAGCTTTCGACGATTCCATATGCCGGGTATATAGTCCACTTTTTCGTCGAGATGTCGGCGGCCAGGTTGCTTACTGGAACACGACGAGATGGCGTCGTGAGGACGGGAAGCCGACGAGAGGAATCAACAACGCGACGGCGAGAGGAATCGACGGCGTTATGGAGACTTGACGACGGGAGGAATCAATGGAATCGACGGCTTGATGGCAAGGGGAATTGACATCAACGGCGAGATGGTGACGTGACGACGGGACGCCGACAGCGGGATTGCATACGGGAAGCCGACGCCGGGATCGCAGACGTGGCTTCGATGGAAACTGTTATAGGGTTGGGAGGAGTACAAAAGTACGGAAATTAATTTTTGAAAGTGAGGGTTTCTACCTTTTTAATTTTAATCATTAATATCATTAAATTTTTATTATATTCCAGTCTTATCCTTGTAGGTAGTTAGCTAATGATTACTAATATTTTTCTCTCTCCTTCTCCTATTGGCTGGAATAGGTTTAAGATCCTCATTAAGAAAAGGGGTTTAAGGACCTGATCTGACCCGAGATTGAGGGATATGTGGACAATCTCCAATCTCCTTCTTTGTCTAATTTGGTCTCTGGGCATAATTGATAACTGTGGTTGAATGGGTTCTTCTCATACCGGATAATTTCAGTTGTATTATGCATGTGATCATGTACACAATTGGATGTTTCTTCCATATGCATGTTAATTGTTTTTGGTAGCAAAACACTATTCCTTAATAATTGTTCATTGTGAATTGGATCTAGTTATGGTCCATTACTGAGTTCTAGTTTTCGGTTTGGCCGGAATACTGGGCACGTTCAAGTTTTCATATTAAGGATCAATTAAGTTTGTTTTTTTTTTTTTTTTTTTTGTAATTATTGGTTTCGGTTACTGGAAATCTTTTTCACTTCCTACCGTGTGTGTATGAAACTATGAATACACTTTGATGGTAAAATTCCTTAACGTAAGCCATGTGGATGGAAAGGGAAAAGTTTCTCTACGGGTTAGATAAAATTATTTGATTAATCACGCCTTTTGAGATTCTATAATAATGAATTAAGTCATTATTATAATATGAAAACGAGAAGGTCAGTTTTATGGGCTTTAAGCTTGTCCGCTGGTTAATAATTATTATAATTTATATTGCATTCGTTACTGATGAGAATTTATCTCTGCGGTGCATGTGAATTATTTTGTTTTACGGAATATAGTGATTGTCTTTCGTACCGAATAGGGAATTGATCAGGTTAGTAACCTTATGGTGATTGGTGAGTAACCATGAGTAATCCGTTCACATCAGCATGACATCATCATCCTCTTTCTCCTAGAAAGCCTTTAATTTTCCTCTCTTTAATCTTTGACAGACGATTTCTCACTCATTTTAAGTCGAAATTTAATTTTTTTTGCACAGTTAGATCAGATTAATTGTGCTCTTCAAAATGATATCCACTTTAATATATTTTTCGAACAAAAAAAATTGAGTCATTTTTTACCAGTCTATACCATATGGTATTGACTGCTATTGAAATAAAAGCATACCTATGGTTTGAAAAACGTACCATGGTGGTATGAACAAACCAAGACTGTAGGATGGTTGAATACATGATAGTAGAAGTATATTAATTGTCATTTACGACTTTTAATATTATATACCACACAATACCACCCCGTACCATGATGGTATTGTATGGTATTGTGTGGTATTTTTTGGTCCTGTAATTTGTTCACCCAGAAATTTGTAGATCCAATAGATCATGATGAACTTGTCCCTTCTGTGCAAACGTTTTCAAAAACGAATTAAAAACGAAGAAGATACCATACAATACCACCCTGTACCAGGGTGGTATTGTATGGTATTGTGTGGTATTTTTTGGTCCTGTAATTTGTTCACCCAGAAATTTGCAGATCCAATAGATCATGATGAACTCGTCCCTTCTGTGCAAACTTTTTCAAAAACGAATTAAAAACGAAGAAGATACCATATGGTATGCAGTTGGTACCGAGATGCCAGAATTTATTTTTTCTAAAAAAATATTGAAAATTGATCTCATTTTGTAGAGCACGATGAACTCGTTCCATCTGTGCAAAAAAAATTAAAATCCGTGTTAAAACGAAAAAGATATTAGTCAATTAAGAAAGGTAGAAAAAATAAAAATGATCTTTAATTCTCTTTTCTTAAGTCTGAATTTTCTAGATAAAGGGTTCAGATTTGATTATTGATGGGTGCATAACTCATGGTTATGCACCCTATCTTGACCCGAATATTAACTCACTGTTAGGTTACTCATTATATTAATTTAGTGTTTATCGGTTATGGAGACATATTTTCATGATGATGATTTCAATAATCATTATTATTATATGTTCCGTTACGGTATTATGGATAAGAAAGTGAAGTTTTCTTAAATGATTCGGAAAGTAAAGTTGTTTGTTATTAAAGGATAACAACAATTGTTGAGCACTTCGTTAAGACGATCATAATAGTAAAATCTCATCATTTAGTTAATGCGTTCATGCAGGCTCAAAATAGGGTGCATAACCATTGGTTATGCATCCATTAATAACCAAATCTGGACCCTTCATTTAGAAAATCCAGATCTAAGGATGGAAAATTAAGGACCATTTTTATGTTTCCTAGCTTTCTTAATCGGCTTATATCTTTTTCGTTTTAACTCGGATTTTAATTTTTTTTGCACAGATTGAACGAGTTCATCGTGCTCTACCAAATGAGAACAATTTCAATATTTTTTTAGAAAAAAAAATTCTGGCCTCTCGGTACCAACTGCATACCATATGGTATCTTCTTCATTTTTAATTCGTTTTTTGAAAAAGTTTGCACAGAAGGGACGAGTTCATCATGATCTATTGGACCTACAAATTTCTGGGTGAACAAATTACAGGACCAAAAAATACCACACAATACCATACAATACCACCCTGGTACGGGGTGGTATTGTATGGTATCTTCTTCGTTTTTAATTCGTTTTTGAAAACGTTTGCACAGAAGGGACGAGTTCATCCTGATCTATTGGATCTACAAATTTCTGGGTGAACAAATCACAGGACCAAAAAATATCACACAATACCATACAATACCACCCTGGTACGGGGTGGTATTGTATGGTATCTTCTTCGTTTTTAATTCGTTTTTGAAAACGTTTGCACAGAAGGGACGAGTTCATCATGATCTATTGGATCTACAAATTTCTGGGTGAACAAATTACAGGACCAAAAAATACCACACAATACCATACAATACCACCCTGGTACGGGATGGTATTGTGTGGTATACAATGTTAAAAGTCGTAAATGACAATTAATATACTTCTACTATCATGTATTCAACCATCCTACAGTCTAGGTTTGTTCATACCACCATGGTACGTTTTTCAAACCATAGGTATGCTTTTATTTCAATACTAGTCAATACCATATGGTATAGACTGGTAAAAAATG